GAAAATATATAAACTAGTCACCTTAGGTCGCTTTGGATAGTACAAGGCCTATCAAATGAGTTTCTCATCAGTAGGTTAGTATAAGGCCTCAGCATCCCGTTGAATTTCTCTTTTTATTGCCTCCTAAAGAACTTTCTCACGTGGGATGAACTGCTGCTTTAAGTTTGCCTGAGTCTTATCAGTACCATTTTGAGTTTTAAATAGAGTTGTGCATATTAATCGGCAGCACGCTGCTACTCAATCTCAAAGCCTGGTCCACAGAATTCATGTTACTATCATTGCTAGCTAAGCCCCTTCCAACACCAATTTGTAGTGGATATTCTTTGTATTCTCTTATTCTTCGTCAAAGCTAATGAAGTTTCTTTTTAGGAAGCATGGCTAGGTAAAATTTAACAACACATTGAGGTCCTTTACTCATTTCATCTTAGGCCAATCAGTTGCCAGACCTTCCATCTCCCTTACCCCTACAAAATATTTACGGATATTTTCGATAATTACTAAATCTATCTTACTTAAATATGTATGAAGATTTGCTGGGTATCGAAAAACCCAGCGAGCAGGAGGAGGCGACTTGAATAACCCCGAATCTGTTAGGGCTCCTCCCACCTCAAATATATTGGAAATTGCGTGCACAGGATACACGTACAACCATATGTCTAAACTGGCGTCGACATTGTAGTATGTGTCCCCAATCTGCTTTATGTAAAACTATGCCCATACCCAACTTAACTCAACTTAACTCATCTGTAAACGCGTATGGCAACCATTAAGTGGCCAACCAGACCGCATCAAGTTTTCGGCCAACCTACTTTTTTTAAATTTTCGACATAAGTTGTTTTCGAGGGTATCAGTAATTCTTGAATAAAAGCTTAATTAGCCTAGCACGCTTAAGGTGATTTATAGACGGATATTTTAGTTTTCCCACAATGAGATGAGTAGACCTCACGATGTAAGTGAGTTTCAATTTTTTGTTTAAGTATAAAGATGCGTCATTTAATAACCTATATTTTGTGTTCTGTCATACGACAGACGAAAACTCAACATGGATCCAACTGTCTTAATTCGTAATCGATCCTCCTTAAGCTTCGGATGAGGCTAATCGCTTCTAACCAAATTTTCTTTCTAAATGAAAAATCTTTTCACATTAATTTGCAAATGCTTCGATTGTTAGTTTGGCCTGTTTGTCCTGCCTGCATCGTTCGTCCGATGATCTTCGACCATGGCTATTTTAAGCCTTCTTTTGAGCCCAACAAATCTATTGTTTTTGATAGATCAAAGTGATTTGATAGTTGAAGTTTGAATATACATAAATAAATAATATTTATAATGATTTATCTAAGCAAATCGATCAAAACATTTGGTCTCCTGGATCAACCAATTTTTGGTCCCGCTTCATTTTCATCATCTACCTCCCTTATCTACTTTTCAGAGCATGCTGATCAACATTTTCCAGCCCCTTTTCGAAGTCACTCTCAATCCAAAGTCGCATGTTAAATTGCATGCTTTTCTTCAGCATGTAGCTGGCTTTGATTCAGTAGACGACGAATCAAAGCCAGAGAGCACAACATTCGATTTTGATATTGCCACTCCAGATCGTTGGACATCAACTGACAATCCTCCCTACGCTTATTATATATATTACATGTACGCCAACATCACCATTCTCAATCAGCTCAGAAGGTGAGCTATTATATATTATAAGAGCTTGTTATTATCTCGATTTATATCTTTCTTCTCTTAGCTCCTTCCTCTTTCCCCAAAAGTCACCATAAAACACGGCAAAATCTTTTCATTTACAGCATTAGCAGAGACTTATCTCACTCAAATAACAATCATATCCTTCACTATAAGGATCTAATTTGTACTACGTATGCCTTGGCAAACGGTTTTCACATAGTTAATATTGATGGTCTTTTTCATAATGCATGCTTAAGTGAATACCTGAAGATCTTGTGGATTTATTTGAAATCAAACGAGATTTAC